AGTTAGTTAATAATGATGTTAATTCTTACGTACGCACAATATTAGGACAACTATTTTACCGATGACTTCAACGGGGCGAAGGGAAAGGGATGGACCGAGCCCTAATCTGATTATTTGTTTTCTTTTCAAATTTTTTTAATCGAAAAAAATTATTTGAGAAGATGCCCATCATTTCCCTTTCCACCGAAGCAGTTCCGCTTTCTTTAAATTTGCTCAAACCGCCGATTTTGTTCCCATACTATTTAAATCTCGATTTTTGTACGATTTTAAACGATTTTAAGGTCTACCGATTTTATAGTAAAATCAGGATTGGAATCCCTAAGTAAAATCTTAAAATCCTACGATTTTACGATCAAAAACCCGATTTTTACTGCTTTGCTCCCATTTATGTGTATTGATGTTAGAGTTGTAGGAGTTATCTATTTGTGCCTATAAATAAAGCACACAAATGTACTAAGACATATGAATAAGAAGAAGAACACTTCTCTCCTTTTCTCTTGTGTTTCTCTCTACTTTTGTTCTTGTTTTGTTCTCCATCTCTTATTTATAACACGTTATCAGCACGAAGCTCTGCCAAAGTCATTGTCTCTCTACATAATCAAATATACTTGAGTAAGATCACAACACGATCAAGATATGCTAATTTTCATGCCGTTTGTTTTTAGTATGTTTATCTATCTCATTGTCTTTAGAGATTATTTGATCATGTTATTCGGTCATATTATTTTATGAATGTATTTTATATATGTCGATCTCGTAACATAGAGTTTGTGATTGGACATTATCAAAAAATGAAAATTACTCATGTAGTAGCAAATCATTAATGAAAGTCTTAAGATCTCATTTTCCCCCAAAGTGGAAAAATGAAGAAAAATGTGTCAAATGAAAGAAGTGGATCTAGTAACAAAAATGTCGGAATATGAGTTACCATTGTGGTGAAAAAATCATTGATCTTGTATGCGATGTATGAAAAGAAGTTTTATTAGTCCAAGAATCATTGGAAGGAAAATGAAAATCTATATGTGCTCCTCCCGTAGCAATATTATCATAGAGGTTTTATAAAGTGTAAGTTAATTTCTTGTTTGTTAAAGATGAAAAGTGTATTGGACTTGTGATGAGAAATATTATATAATTTGATTCATAGCGTGTTGTTTCATTTCCGGAAGCGAAAGAAACAAACCATTATTAAAAGTGAATGCAACGAGATACACCATTATATAAATATAATTTGGTGTTTGGAGAACGACAATGAGCAAATGTATCTTTTCACCGGAAGTGAAAGATAAAATGATTATAAATGAGGATGACATAACAATTCATGTAGAAAAATTCATGATCATATACCGTAACCTTCATATGTCGAAATGTGTTATGAAACATGACACGCTAAAACACAACACCAAACGACGACCAAGTGCAATCGTAGGATGGAAATGCAGAATAGTGGTGAAGTTTAATTTATCAACCCGGGGTCTAGATAAAATGCCTACTCCGTAAACGTCTATTATTTAGCCAAGAAAGTGTAGTGAGATGTTCAAATGCAAAATAAACAAAACGGAAGTAATGCTCCGGTTTTCCAAGTATGTTAAAGGTCATCCAGGTACGATTCCCCCTAGTATGCAGCTAGTTTATATTATATGTTCCCAATTTGTTCAGATTGAAAGATACACTGTGAAAAGTTCTTGCCAAGTCTAGAATCTCGACCAAAGAAGACCAAACCCTCTTAGTTCGAATACCCGCCGAGCGACTAACCTCCACCGACATAAACTAACCAATGCAATAACGCACCAAACTTCCACTATTGACTTTAATTCGGGTACATAGCAGTGGATCGACTTCTCGACTAAAGCAGTCGATTCACCACTTCCAATTTAAGGTAGCTCTATTAACCTATGCAGAGACTATCGTTCTAGGTTGAAGCAGGAATCACAAAAGTTTGATCAGGACTCAAGTAATTCTGAATCATTGCCTTAACTGAATATAAAATGTCAAACAATAATGAAAAATTCGAGTTCATAAAACTCTTCCTAGCAAACAAACCTATGGTTCCTCAAAACCTAAGTGAAGGGAAGTTACTCCATAGAGAAGAGAGAGAATGCATAAATCTGATCTAGATCTTCAATCTCCATCTCCAAGCTTGATTCGCGAGCTCCAATGATGAAGAAATCCTCCAAAATAGCTCGAAGAATGATCCCTATGTTCTCTCTCTCTCTCTCTCTCTAGAGTTCGTCCCTTGGGTGTTTGGGATCCAAAGTCCAGCTCTCTCCTTCAAAAAACGCACAAAACAGGTGTTTATACTCGCCGCTGGTACGTTCCACGGTCGTGGAATTTGACCTCCAACCTGTGGATCTCTGCTGCTCGAAATCCACGGTCTAAACCTCTAATCCACGACCTTGGAATTGGCTTCCAACCCATGGAAATCATTACTCATGTTTCCCTCTCTTGAATGTCTTGTTTCTCCCTCCTCCGGACTCCGAATTAGTCGCCGTTAGATCCCAGACGCTCGTAGTCTAGTCCTCTTTCTCATCATGACAAGCATAAATGATTCATTTTCCATAAAATGAGAAATAAATCCGTTCTTCCTAAGGTCATGCCCGAGTTCTTCACCCGAGTCGCCAATTGATCTCCCATTGACTTGAAACTTGCTCCTATGCTTCACTTTACGTGCTAGGACTTGAAATGTGACAAAGGAACACAACCTAGAGTAAAATAGACTAAAATATGATAAACAACCAGCTAAACGATCAAGAAATGAGGGGTAAAACATGTGAAAATATGTAGTCATCAAAACACATATATGTTATTATTATTATAATAATTATTATTTTTGTATGCTTTTGTGTAGAATAAATATTCGCAAAAGTCAATACTATTATTATATCATAGTTAACTTCTATCGTACACCAAACATATGTTGGGGTATGTCGTACCCCAGCAATCTCCACCGTCCACGTCCATCTCAACAGGTAGGATTAATGCGGGTTCTTTTTTGTGTAATTAAAAAATAAATTACCTCATTTATGTTGGCCGTTGAGATGGACACTAACGGTGAAAATTGTTTAATGTACGACATACACCAGGTTTTGCATGGTGTACGATAGAACCATCATATTATCATATTGTATGAAAGTAAGAAAAAGCTCTGGAAGAGTTTGTGTTTTGTTACTTGGAGTAACTAAACAATATATTAGTGATAAAATAGTGTGACAATATTCTTATCACTATAGATATGTGCTCACAATAGTTCACTGAATCAGAAGGTGCCTAATGGCCAATATGTAGTACAAGAGTATGTGAAAGCTCCAGAAGAGCTAATATTTTGAGAATTGAAGGAACTAAACTGTCAGTTGAAAATGCATTACCGAATTATGAAGATATTTGCAAAAACAAATATTATAATTGATATTGCATCATAAATGAGTTTTAAGAGAACATATACTTAACTGGAGAAATTGGTACAACATGTATATTAGTACATATGAATAATACAGTCAAAATCGGGATTTTGATCGTAAAATCGTAGGATTTTAGGATTTTACTTAGGGATTCCGATCCTGATTTTACTATAAAATCGGTGGACAATAAAATCATTCAAATCGGGATTAAAATCTTACCAAAATTGGGATTTTGATCCTATGTGAACAAAATAGGTGGTTTGAGCCAATTTAAAAGAAGTAGAACTGTTTCGGCGGAAAGGGCAATGACGGGGATCTTCTCATATATTTTTTCTATTAACAAAAATGGAAAGAAAACAAATAACCAATTAGGGCTCGATCAACCCCTTTTCCTTCCCTTGTTTAACTCATCGATAAAACAGTTATCATAATATTGTAAGTATGTAAGAATTAATATTATTATTATTAAAAAATTAATTAATTAATGAATATATTTGTACCAAACCAATGAAATTAATTATTGTATTCGAGTTCACTTATTCTTAGTTTTTAAATCATGCTTACTAGACGATGAAGGAATATTACTTAAAGTTAAAATACCTAGACACAATATGAAAAACAAAACCAAACCTAATGAGCTCTATCCCTTCCTCATGAATTATTTTGAGTTACGCATTAAATAACAATTAAAATGATGATTTTGGAACATTAATCTTGAGAATTATCATTTTAAATGTTATGTATCTTTCTTTTAATGATTTACCTTATTATATTATTATATGTTAGTTTCTATATGGTACCTAAACGCCTACGGTTTTATGTTTCATTTTTACGATTCCTATTTTACCCCAGTTTTGGATTTTAGATAAAATCCAAATTTTAACTGCTTTGCATATGAATATATAAACTAGAAGTTTAAAATATCAGATAACTTTTCGTTTTGGCATGATACCGACAGGGAAGAGGAAGAAGCAGAGAAGTCAGTGGATTCTTCCATGACTGGAGATTGGGGAGGGCTGAACCAATAATTTATTTTACTTATTTTAATTTTCTAAGAATTTTGTATCTTTCTTATTATAATTAGTATAATTGAATTTTTAAATTAAATAATAATATGTCAATGACGTGGCATCTACATGAATGTCACTTTTCTGCCACATATGCAAAAGTCAACAATAGTTTGACTTCCGTCCAGTCAACAGTTATCTCTAACGGTCAACGTAAGACGCCATGACACAAATGTCACAAATTCATATAGTTCAGGATAGAAATAGAATATTGAATAAAATAGGACACAAGTGGTATTTTTCGGATTGTTCGATCGGGTGTTGTAGAGGTATTTGCCCAAAATATTATTATTATTATTATTATTATTATTATTATTATTATTATTATTATCATGGATGACCACATTAGATGCTCCATGGTATGTTACAAATTCTATGTAACTCCTCTCCATATATTTTATTTTTCCTTATGCTTTTTGGGCATTGCTCCTCCCATTTATGTATATTGATGTTAGAGTTGTATGAGTTATGTATTTGTACCTATAAATAGAGCACACAAATGTACTAAGATATATGAATATGAAGAACATTTCTCTCTACATTTGTTTTTATTTTGTTCTCCAGCTCTTATTTTATAAGACATAATAATAATAATAATAATTAACATAATAGTACTTTCATACATGCATCAAAGATACCCAAATTGCCTACTATCCATACATCAACTTTATTTTCAAAGAAAGGGACAACAAAATGAGTGAAATTATCTAGTACAAAATATGCTACACGGAAACAACCGAATAATATACTACACATTGCAAATACTGATATGTATTTTCAGAGAAGATAGCAATCCATCACTTTCCATTGAGTGATGAGGCAGCGACAGGAACCAAGAAAAGACTGTTTTTCCTCCTGACGGTTGCACCAAACATCTCGGTCATGTCGATGCACTCAGGTTTCTGTCCGTTCGGAAGCTTCCAATCGAAATTATAAAGCAACCGCGCCAGCGGCAGCTTAAGATTAGCCGAAGCGAACGACATTCCAGGACAAATCCTCCTTCCAGCACCGAACGGAAGCAACTGAAAATGAGCCCCCTTGTAATCGACCGAGCTCTCGAGGAACCTTTCCGGCCAGAACGTCTCGGCGTCGGTCCAGTACTCGGGGTTCCTTCCGATCGCCCATGCATTCACCATGATGCTGGCACCGGCCGGTATGTGGTAGCCGCTGATCTCGCAGTCTTGGGCCCCCGTCCTCGGAAGCAGCACGGCTACCGGAGGGTGGAGTCTCATGTTTTCTCGGATGACCATTTTTAGGTACGTGAGTTCTTCAAGCCTTGATTCGTCCACCTTGGCTTGGGGTTCGTACACCCGCCTTACTTCGGCTTGTGCCTTTTGCATCACTCGTGGGTTTCTCATTAGCTCCGACATGATCCAGTCTAGACTTGTAGCCGTTGTTTCGGTGCCGGCAAAGAATAGGTCCTAAGGAATAATATTAGATTTATATAATAGAGAAATTTTACAATGCTTATAGTATTGGTGTTATATGGTTTTGTCTTTATGGTACAACTTAAAATTGTACATTTATGTTATGGTACAACTTCAGATTGTACCTATACTTTTTGTACAAATTTTTTTATGATACAACTTGAACTTGTACCTTTTATGATAACATAATGGTACAAATTGCTTTATGGTACAACCTAAACTTATACGTTTAATGTAATGATACAACTTTAAATTGTACATTAAAGCACCAATACTATATAACATAGTAGAATTGCTCTATATAATATTATTTTCAAATTATGCTTAAAACAATAGAAAGCATGAGATGAAGATGATAAACTAATAATTTTTAAGGCCAGTTTTCTTCATTAATTTCTCTTTTCCTGTTAGTGATAGCATGGTAAGTGGTAAGTGGTAACAACATTATTGGGCCCGGATGAAAGATTTAGATGGACTCGTTTGGAGATGATAGAATTTGGGTCTAAATCCCACATATCCATCATTTATATTAAAATTCATCTTTGGTTTTCCTAAAAATTATGTAGGAATTAGCATGTGAAAAAATGTAATTTTTCATCAAAGAAAAAAAAATGGAATTAGGGTTCAAATTCCTCAATTTTGTGGGAACGGGAAAAGTCATACCATTCTCCTGTCTTTTACAATCTCCATATTTTGTGATCAATTTCCGCTGATATGGGAATTTAAACTTTATAAATTCCGCATTTTTCAATTTGCTCGTCAAAAAAGACTATAGTTTAAATCTTATATGTGCATCGTTTAGCTAAAAAAATTATATTAACTTGCACACAAATAATTTGTGAATTGACTTGTAGAATAGTTCAGATTTCCATATTGTTTAGAATTTGAAAAACTCACACCATCTCCGTCCTTTTCAATTTCAATAGTTTGTGCTCAAAGTCCTCATATCTAAGAATTTGAACCTAAATGTTATATTTTTTCCAATTTCATTGTCCAAACCAATCATGTCCCACATTTCCCAAGAGCCTCATTAATGTGAAAGGTTTAACCCCATATATCTTCCTATCATTTCCCAAATGACCCATTACTTGGTTCAAATTTCAAGCCTATTTTTTCATTGACATGTTGGTGCAAATCTGCTCAAGTAATAAGTGAAGGTAAACCAAAAAGATAATAATTACCACGAGGACGGCCTTGATATTTTCGGTTGTCAACGAGAATCCCAAATTGTCTTTACCCTCATGATGCCTCAGAAGCACATCCAAAAGATCCCCACTCTCTTCTCCTCCTGCTTCTTCTTCTTCTTTCCCAGATCTCTTACCACCCTTACGAGCTCGGTGATCAGCTATTATGGATTCCAGCACCTTATCCGCCTTCTCATGGAGCACGTTCAACTTCGATTCCACACCGGTGAGAACATGAAGGAACTTAAACGAAGGATAGAAATCCGCTATGTTGAACCCCGACGCCACCCTAATAATATCATCGATCAACGGCAAGAAAGCCTCACTGCCTTCTCGCACCTCCCCAAACGCGGCCCTCGACAGGACGCTGTAAGTCAACTTAGAAAACATGGTGGTCAAGTCAACTCCCGCCGCCGCCGACGAGGTCGATACGGCGGCGACCAGCTTCGAAACCTCGTCCTCCCGTATGGAACCGAACGACTTGATCATCTTCGCGCTGAAGAGCTCGATGGTGCATATCCTGCGAATAGAGGTGACAAATGGATCAGATTAGAATCATATTAATTAAAAGAATTCCGGATTGGATTTGGGGAAATTGTGGATATGGATCAAATAATTGGTAAATTGCATTCATAGATTCAGCAGCCAGGTGATATCTAAACATTATACGAATATGTAAAATGATACATATTCAGCCAACAGAGGTAGCAAATGGGTGGATTCATTGATATGAATCGATTAAATGAATTGGTGAATTGGACTCATAGATCCAAAGTGATATTTAAACAATGTATCAATATGTAGATTTTGGAAATGTCAGGTATATTGTCCTACTATTAGGTATGAAAACATAATTTTGCAATGATACTTTACATTCAATAATTAAAATTTAAGTATCAAAATATAAATACATATAAAATTCGAATTTACAAATATTCATAAATCACTCCACTCATCCATTGATTTTGAATTAAATGATTTGGATATTTTATTAGATGAATTAGACTGCCGAATTGAATTCAAAAGTTGACACCTCTCTACCTGCGCAACTGGCGCCAGTAGTCGCCGTATGGCGCGAAAACGATGTCGGTGCTGCCGTAGGCGAGGATGTCGGCCGAATGCACCGGAGGCCGCTGGGCGAAGTTGACGTCATGGGTCTTCAGGAAGGCCTCCGCGATTTGGGCCGAGGAGACGACGATGGTCTGGACCTGGCCCAGCTGGAGGTGCATGATCGCGGGCCCGTGTTGGTGGGCCAGGTCCCTGAGGGCGCGGTGTGGCAAGGGGTTGCTGGCGAGGTGGTGCATGTGGCCGATCAGGGGCAGCTTCACCGGCGGCGACGGAGGGAGGACAAGTGTACTTTTCCGGCGGAGCTTGTTGCTGGTTGAAGATGATCTGGAGAAGAGGAAGAGGGCGAGCAAGGATGTGAGGACGATGAGGATGGCTGTGTAGCAGGAGGAGGGAACAATGGTAGCTGGGAGTTGAAGAAGAAGCTCCATGTAGGCTAAGTATTTAGCAGCTGGATTAGGAGGAGATTAGTGTTTTGATTATGGATCCAAACGTAATGGATGGATTAGGGAAAGCAAAAGATTAGAGAAAGGACAGCAAAAATATGAATGGATGTGAGGACTGAGGAGGGAAGTAGATAGTGGATTTCGAAGGGGAAATTTATAGCCACAAGTTGGTATCCAGCATTTGTCCAAGATGTTTGGATCAATTATATAAATGTACTGTGCATTTTGTTGAAAAATCCTTCAACAGTGTTTAATATTTGTGGTGTTTTTAGGGAGCGGATGTAGTCACTAGTTTGATTTAATATTTGTGGTGGTTTTAGGGAGCGCATCTAGTCACTAATCTGATTGGTGATTATACGTGATTTTTTCCCCAATTATATTTAATGGGTTATATTTCTTTTGTATAAGTTAAAATTTAAAAAATTAATTAATTGTGCTATTCAAAATGATATTTTTTTCTTTTTTATCAATCAAAATGATATTCACTTTGATATAATTTTGGAAAAAATTAAAATATATATTACTCATCTATACCATGGTGGTACTATTTGGTAGTACATAAAATTATACAATTGTGATATGTAAGTGTAGCATGGCGGTGCAAATATATGATACTGTTATTGTCTACGTGATGGTAGAAATATATTAAACATCATTTCACCACCATTTACCATCCTATACCATAGTGGTATATTTGTTATTATTTTTTTTTTCAATAATCTGTAGGTGGTACTAGGGTGATAATGGATGGTACTAATTTTTCTCAAAAATATATTATAAATTGATATAATTTTGTAGATTATAATAAACTAGTTCCTTATGTGGAAAAACATATGAAATTCGGATTAAAACAAAAAACGATACGAATCCATCCAAAATAGTGAAAGAATTGACAATATATTATTTTTGTTCGGTTGAACTATGCTTTCAGTTTCAGGCATAAGCATAGTGAGATGGGCATGCAGGGTAAGACCTAAGGTTTTGAGAGGGATTTTTTTTTTTTTTTTTGAGAAATGAGAGGGGAAAATTTACCAACACTGAATAGTACATTTGGGGTGGGATGTTAGTTTGGGCTACCCTTTGTTAATCTCGCAAGTCTCGTGAGTCAGGTTGACTCGGTGGTTGTTGAGTTCAACTCATAAAAAGTTAGCAAGTTAAACTTCTGAGCAAATCAGTTAATAATGTTAATTCATAGTTAGGTTTGTTAGATTATATATTTAAATACATATGATGTTTAGTAACTTGAGAACGTGATCATATATGTCTTATTTATTAAAAAAAATATAAATTATGTATCATAGATTGTTGAGATAGTAATTACTATTAAATAACAAGATATGAATAATTAAAAATTTATAAATGATATGATACATTTGCTCAAGCAGAACTTGCGAGCTAATTGATTTGCCCAGCTCGAATAGAACTTGTGAGCTCATTAATGAGCCAAACACTAATAAAACTCGACTTGACTCGACTTATTTACCATATAATTCAACATAATTTAACGAAAAATATTTAGAATCAAATATTCCATCATCATCAGCCTACCAACTCAAACACCACACCTGTAAAAAAAGTGATAAACAATTTAAAGTTCGTCATAATAATCACAACTAACAAAGAAAGATTAGTAAGAATAAAACACATATATAATCTTCCCACGGCACTACCCACTTCTCTTCTCCATCAATTTTCTGCCACAAGACAAACTTTGATTAATGACATCCCCAAACTTCCAAACCTCAATGAAGTCGTCCACCACTCCCAATCCCGAGTCCCGACCCCTGCAATCACATCTCCACCATTAAATGCCGCTATTGAATTTTTTCATTTTCTAGATGATTGATTCAATCACTCGACAGGATAGGTTAGCTTGCTAATTGCTAATAATTAATCATAACGGCGTACCATTATACTAATTACTAGCTTATTATTATCTGGCCCTTTGGCCGGATACTCAATATTATCCATTAGCATGTCTGCGACGATAGATAAAGATAGATCAACAAAACCATAATAATTTGATGGAAAATTAATATCACATTGCATTACAAAAGAAACTTTAAAACATAAACACTATAGTGGACAATCCAAATGAAGTCATTAGCCCTAAATCTAGCCACACTATTGCCAAGTACCCTAATGCATCTAGATTGAACATGAAAAAATCATAGTAATGCTTCCCTGGTTCCATTTCCTGATTATAAAAATGGAAGCCACAAAGAGATTTCATAAAGAAAACCCAATCTGGATTGCCCTTAAACCAAAAACCACAGTGACACCAAAAGTGATGAATCCCTGGTTGAGAAAACCAAAACCAACAATGTCCAAATCAAGTCGATGAAATATATAGGCCAGTTTTTTTATGATAAATACTTTTATTAATTAAAATGACAGAAAAATAAAAGAAATACAAAGCATGCAATATGCTGTAGAAATCTCATATACAAACAAAAGAAAAAGGCAAGCAATATATGCCTAGTAACACCAACAGATAACAACTTTTGTCAATACCTCTACCAACGTGTTCTGTATGATCATAGTATGGTCTTTTGTATAAATCATTTCTACCTTACTCATTTTTGCATCACAACTCTAAGAGCTAACTTGTTGGGGCTCTCCTCTACGTAAACAGCTTGTATCAATATTAGACATGATAAAAAAAATTGCTTTAGTTGAGATACTATAAGGATCTTGTGCTGCTCTAAAGAAGCCGAAACCATTTCTCGGACCTCCGTCAACCCCCAATCAATTTAACATGGGTCATTGCTCTCTTACCATCTAAATTAAAGAGGAAGCTCAGGTTAGTCACTTTCATAGCTTAACTTGACAATTTCTTAGAGGAGATACAAATCACGATTCATAATTCCAGAATAACCATCTAAGATAATACAATCTTATGGAAACAACACTAATGAAGCACCCAAATTACAATTCCCTACATGTTTCATGTGAGGTGTGCATGTGCAGATTAAGAAAAATAGAGAGATTAAGAAGGGAGCTTACTTGGTTTGCGGGTTTTGATGAGCAAAAAATCCGTCAATAAATTCCAGGTGGAGATGTCCAATCGGTCGAGTCTAGACTTGCGTATATTTCAACAGACTATACTACAAACACAAAGAGTTTGGTTAGTTCTTCCCATCACAACATATGCTCACCATGTATTTATTCCTTGTAGAGAGAAGATATCAAACCATCTTGTATCTGCTCCAATTATTGCAATCACTCGTGCTTTTTATATTATTGTAATTAGAACTCTACTTTTAAATCTGGAAGCAAGTGACCACTATTACGAAATATCATATTGTAGAAACTTATCTGTAATCATGAGGTTATTTCACTCAAAATAAACCATGTTTTATATGTTGAAGATCAACATTATAGTTTAAATAGTTCAATTCGGTAACGATCTCAGCTCCTACATATAAAATCTATGTAAAAGTGGTATGGTAGAAGCTATTCCTTATGTCAACACTAAATAGAATAATCTTTGTTTACTGGAAATTAACCAGAAAAACATTTCAAATCAGGAAAATGATGATACCGGAAAGGAGTATCATAACAAAATCAACAAAAAGTATAACTATGTATCTTTAATCAACTCAAAAGTCAACCTAGAAAAGTAACCAAATGAATTGATGGTTAAGAGATCACACATTACTATCAAAGAAACTAAATAACCCACCAGTCACTGTCAGCTCTCCAAGCAAGAATGCTCAACCTTTTGCATATTTACCCTTCAAAAATTACCCTGGCGTAAAAATATAGGCGGAGGAGGTTAGGCGGTTGTCGAGTCCGGTGGTAAGGTTTGGAGAGACTGCGATATGGTTGAGCCTTTAGTGGGTCGGGACACTATTTAGACCTGTTTACATCAGTTGCGTCTTTTCCATCCGCGTTCAACAAACCAACATCACTTAATCTTTTCATATTTACCCCTCTCTTAAAGACATAGGTGTTACATATTCACTCAAAACTTTTGTGTTCAAAAATATTGTTGTTTTATGATAGTTATAAAATTTAAGTTTATTTTAAGAATTATGCATCGCTTCTACACATTCAATAGTGTAATTCGAAATACAATATTTGAACCAATGACATTTGGGTTGCAATTTAAAATTATCCTCCTTTTATAAGACAAATAAAATGAAATTAATTACTAAACACGAATTAGAGTAAAAAAATATCAAATCAGAGAGTATCACATACCAATAAAAATATTTGCGGGAGAGTTAGTGGGTTAGCTAACCATGGTGGAAAAGTCCTATGATTTTTTACATTTAAGCTTAATGTATGTTTTAATTAAAAAATATTTAACAAATTTGGTTAGTGTAACTAGTTGTGTTTTTTTATCTTTGTTCGAAGAGACCATGGTTCAAATCTCATTATTAATGTATTTGTTCATGTAAATAAGAAAATAATAAATGATTGTGAAAACGAATCCACCCTTCCTACTTTCGTTATGGATGCAGAAAATTTGAAATGAGGGTTCAAGTTTCCCTATTTTCTTTTTATTTATTGTGTAGATGTAGATGTATATGAGTTGTAGTGTCCAATAATAATGGTTTTTGGTTTTGTCTCGTTAAAGTCGTTGTCATTTTGTAGTTGTAGGACAACAACTCTGATTTGGACTACTACCGTCTACAACTCATGATTAATATGGTACTAACTCCTATAGAATTAACACAGTGTCTTGGCTCTTCACTCAACTCATTCTCTCCCATCGTTTCACACCCAAAACACGGGAGGAGGAGGAGGAGGCAGCAACGATAATGAAAGGGATGGAGAATTAATATAAAAATAAAGTCATTTATTTTCACTTTTGTTTCTTAAAATAAATTTTAAATGACGAGTTTTTGAAATTCCATATCAATTTACATATCACTGATACAACCAACACCGTCATAGTGTCGAAATTTCATGCCACAATTGACATTGGACAAAAGCGAGGATACCAATAGCGGAGCCACGTTATTGGTAGGATTCGACTCTCAAGACAGTGTCAATCTACATGTAACTTTTGTAACAAATTCGAAAAATATAGTAAGTTTTAAGGTTTTAGCTCCTCCTTCGTTATTTAAATCTCGTGAAAGTACAATTTTAGCCCCTCATTCATATTTTTGTCTCGGG